AATGTGAGTTAAACAGTAAGTTTATATAATGAGAGACCAAGTGACCGAGATGGCAGAAGACCTATATTCTATCACTGTCTCTAATAATTGTGTGTACTTGGGCAAGTCAGTGAGTCATTAAACATTTATTAAGTTCCTACTCTATACCAGGCCCCTTGCTAAGTGGTTGGGATACAATTATGAAAAAGACAGTTCCTGCCCGCAAGGTGCTTATAATATAATGGGGGAAGCCAACAACATACAAAAGGAAGCTGAAGAGGGGTGTTGGAGAAGGAGCATGATGAGAAGGCCAAAGAATGCAGTCAGGTGGGGAATAAATAGGGTTACTTAACGTTTCCGAGCTCCACTAAAATGAGCTCATCAATAAAATGAGAGTGTGGGGCTAAGATGATTCTTAAAGTTCCTTCCTGCCCTGTGAATCTGAATCTGATAATTCCTGCTTCATCTGTGCTGCACGGTAATGTCATGAGGATGAATGAGGACTTAATAAAAATATCTGGAAGCTCCTCAGAGAGAGTTGCTATAGAAACATAAGGGGGAGTAAAATTGCTTTAAAGAGGGGATCTCGGGGAAAATCCTGTTCTGATTGTTGCCTTCAGAAGCCTGACATGCGCTTTGCACATATGTGGATTTGAGCAGAGCCATGATTCTGACATTGGCATGAGTCTGTACTATGCTCTGTGTGTGTGTGTGTGTGTGTGTGTGTGTGTGTGTGTGTGTGTGTGTGGAGAGAAAGAGAGAGAGAGCCCTCAGGATTCAAATCATACTACCTGTATGATCTTGGACAAATAACCTCTTTGTTTCTCATTTTCTTCATCTGTAACATGAAGAAGTCAAATTAGATTATCTCTAGTTTTTCCTGTGGGCTCTAAATCTTATGATCCTATAATGTTTGCTCTGTAGCATACAGTAGGATGGGAAATGCACAGTGTGGTCTCTCCAAGTATTTGAAAAATGTTGCAACAAAAATGTCAAGATTCAAGCCATTGGTACTGGAAGAAAGAATATTGCCAGGAAGGTGACTGCTTAGTAATGGTGGTGATTCTCTTTATGGGCGAGAATGACATAGATCTGTCAAATTTTTATGGGAAGTATGAAAGGGACAAACACATCAATAAATAGCCAATGTTTGTTTATTGAATGTCTTAAATGTATGCTTACTGTTTATGCTTGCTACTGTGGAAGGAAGATACAAGAGAATATAGTTTCCCCAAAACTTTAATAGCTTAAAACAGCACCAAGACTTTTAGGACATCCTATATAAGATAGGGCCCCTGCCTTCAAAGAGTCTAACACACGAGACAGAAAATGAAAGGTAGGATGCAATCAAGAGGACATTTCAGCCAGGGGGAGCAGGATCAGTTGACAAGCATTTATTAAATGCCTGCCATGTGAAATGGGAGTAATGTTAGCACCTGTCTCCTAGGGTTATTGTGATGATTGATATTTGTAAAAGACTTAGTGCTCTACCTGTGCTTAGTAAGTGCTTGTTTCCTCCTTCCTTCTTTCTTTCCTGCCTTCCTCCCTCCCTGTTTGTTTCCTTCCTTCCTTCCTTCCTTCCTTCCTTCCTTCCTTCCTTCCTTC